CGCCTGGGCAACTTGGTGAGACCTCATCTCTACAATAAAAATCAAAAATTAGCCGGGCATGGTAGCGCATGCCTGTAGTTCCAGCTACTTGGAAGGCTGAGGCAGTAGGATTGCTGGAGGCCAGCAGGTCGCGGCTGTGGTGGCCGGTAGCAGCCACTGCACTCCAGTCTGGGCAACAAGTGAGACTCCAATTTAAAAAAATAAATAAATAAATAAATAAAATAAAAATATATGTGTATATATATATATTTGATATCTGAAGGAAACAGATTGGCCTGTTATCCAGACTTGTGTGTTTATGTTTGTCTCTTTCTTTCTGTCTTTTAAAATAGTCTTCCCAGTTGCTTTTGAAACCATTTTGATCTGTATAATTGTAAAGCAGTTCTTTTCCATTGTAAATAACTTGGAAAAATAAAGAATTCTATGGTATTTAAGCAGTTAATATCGACACATTTCATACATGTCTCTTTAAAAGTCAAACTTAGTGATTATTCAGTGGTTAAAAATAGATAAATACAAGGAAAGCTATTTATTCATTTTAATTAACTATCAAAATATGTCATATTTTTTGAGGGAACAGTTTTTGCATTAGGCAAAGAGAAAGTAGTTGGTATAATCTTATTTTTTTAATGCTAAAAAGAGAAATATGGAGATCAACAAAGAATTTACAAAACAGTAATTTCTGTGAACAGACTTTAAATTAATGTGGGTTCTGTTTGTGTTCTGTTATTTTCCTTATTCATATATTTAGATTTGGAAGTCCTCTTCCCTCTCAACAAATATATAGATACATGGTTGTCAGATAATCTGCTTTGTTGCCTTGTTTTTCATTAGTGAACGAATGATTCAAAGTTGATTCCAAAAAAAAAATTTAGTCTTTTTTGGTCTAAACTCCTCCCTCAGGCCTTTATCCCTCTTCCACCCTCCTACCCCATCCCCTGCAGTATGTACCTGGCCCTCATGCTCCTCCTGTCTACTTCACCATAACCACACAGCACGTATGTGTAAGCGGTGAACCATCCACACTGCGGTCTGCTTGCTGTTCCTTAGAGCCCCTTGGACATGCTTGAATTCTTGTCTTTTCTCAAGCAGTTCTGCCCTTCTGGAATGCTTTCCTTGCTTCACATGGATCTTTTTATTTTATCTACTTTTTAAGGCCCATTTCAAATCTCACCTCCCAAGGATGATTTTTCCAGTTGTCCTTCCTTTCCCCTGGCAATAATAGCTCTCCTAGAAATCTGTGTATTCTTTTCTTAGGTCGCTTTAACTCCTCCTTTTAGTAATACCATCAGTATGTCTTTCTTTAAGAACTGGGACTCTATTTCCCCTGTATGTGCACACCCTTTCTGCTCTGACCCCAGCCATGCCCACTGTTCTGCATATGAAATACAGGATGTACAATGGATGTAGGGCCTGGCCTGAGAACCTCTACTCCTCCCAAGCATAGATTGCCTCTATGTCAGAGCATCATGGGATGTAAACCAGGTTAGGGCCAGATTGTGATGGCTGTATAGATAAAGCTTGATACAGTATGCAGTGGAAAACTATTTCTTTTCTACAGAACCCATTTTTTAAAAAAACTGAGCATTTTCAGTGAACTTTGTGTGTCATGGTGTATACAGTAAGAAACTCAAATGTTTAAGAACAATTAATTTGGCAGCAATGTAAAGAATGAAGGAGAGGATGGTGAGCAGGCTTTTTGCAAGAATTAAGCTGAAGAGAGTAATGCAGTATTCATGATGTTCTACCAGTTGGGGTAGATTTAGAGACTGATGCTTTTCTATATTTAAAAGCAGAAAGAGCTAGAGAAGGGAAATCCAGAAAAGGAAAGTAGGAAAAAAATTGATATTACGAAGAGCAAAAAAATAGGATAAGATTGAGAAGTGACAGAGTTCAGATTTAAAAGCATGAAAATGTGGCAAAATGTAAGAATGGAAATGTACTTATTTCTTTCAGAATTAAAATTACCTCAAGAGAATAGAGTCTTAACTTGAAAAATCAAGCTAAATACTTGAGACTGGAAACATTTTTCTTTCAATGTTTTTGTGTAATGTAATGACTGTATATGTTCCTTTTTTCTCACCTGATCAGTGGATCTTTTAGAGTTGAGTACAACAAATGAAGTTTTCAAACAGCATAAATTGAACCAAAATGATCAGCTTCTCAGTGTTCCAGATGTTATCAACTGTCTGACAACAACTTATGATGGACTTGAACAAATGCATAAGGACTTGGTCAATGTTCCACTCTGTGTGGACATGTGTCTCAACTGGTTGCTCAATGTATATGACACGTAAGTTTGTAATTTTTTCCGTTATAATGCAATCACTGAATAAAATATATTGATAATAGAAAATGTCTAATTTTTAAAATGGATTTTTAAAGGTACTTTTCCCAGTGGAAATATTTATATTAATTGTTGAAAGTGAATCATTGAGCTCTTATAAACAATAGACAAAAAAAGAATGTACAACTATTATTTTAAGATTTTGCTTCACTTTACAAAGGCTATCAAATTTGTAGTATTCTTTGTCAGGGGAGGGAAGCCTAATATAGCTAAGTTCTACTTTCTTCTTGTTTCATAATCTAATTGAATTTCTTTATTCAAAAGAAGAAATGTATTTATTGTTATGAATTAATATGATTTATTAGCTCAAAATAATCTTCTCTACAATCTTTGTATGATAACTAAAGAGCAATTTCAATAGCAATGAACAAGATTTAATTTGTCTTTTGATATTAACTTTATTTATTGCCATGGTGATTATATATGTGGAGTTTTAAATAATTTATGCTACAGGATACTCTAACATCTGTAATTTAATTAGGTGTTCACTGTTACATAAAGAGCACTCTCAACTTCCAGCATAACTCATTTGCTATTAATTTGGCCCTTTTGAATATGGCAATGGTTTTGTGAAATAATCACTTCTAGAAAGACCTGCTGTGGGCTGACCCTTCTGAAGCATTAGGAATTATTCATTCTTCTGGTAGGGGGTTAAAGTATACAAAGATGAAATGGAAAAAAAAAAAACAACAATTGTTTTTCTCTCATACCAACAAAGTTATTTTCTGTTAATCAGTTATGAAAATTTGTGTTTATCAGACTTTTAAATGATTTAGAGAAAAAAAAGATAGGTAATAGTTCATAAATATACACATTTGGCAGCTGAATTGATTCTGTATAAGAAGTAAATAATGACGACGATAGCTTGAGAAATGGTTCAACTAAAATTTGAGGATTTTAAAATTTTATTTTTAGTTGACATAATAATTATACATATTTATAAGGTATAGGGTGATATTTCAGTCCATCTATAAAGTGTGTGAAGATCAAATCAAGGAAATCTGAGGTGAATATATCCATCACCTCAAACATTTTTCATTTATTTGCATTAGGAACATCCAGAATCTCTCTTCTACCTTTTGAACATATAAAACAAATTATTAACTATATTCACCCTGTAGTGCTATAGAACACTAGCATTTATTTCTCCTACCTAGATGTAATTTTGTATACATTAACCAAACTCTCTCTACTCTGCCCTCCCTACTTTTTTAATTAGGAAAGTGTTTTATTTTTCAACATTCACAAATATCATAACAAAGTTTTTAAAAAAAATAATCAAATAGCCATTGCGTCCTCGAGGGCTCTTAAGAAACTCACTGAAGCATGAGTCTCAGGTACCATAATGAATATGGAATTTACTATATCCCTGGCTGATATTTTAAAATATATTTAATTTTTAATGCAAATTTTAATTCTCTTGGGTAAAATATTATCATTGGGATTAATCTACCACTAAATTGCTCTTCAAATTTTTGAATCCTCAAAAGAGACTCTACAATAAATTCACCAAAATAGTTGGTCAATTAGGTGTTTTAACTGTAAGGCCTGTGACTTAATTTTGCATCCTGGGAAGATTACTAAGTTCATAGAGTATTTAGTTAGGAACTACTCCATTCAGCCCTATAGAGTACGGTAGATATACACATCTTGAACTACATTTTGAGGAAGAACTGAAGAAGATGTTAAATCGCTGTCCCTCAGCGCTGTCTGTGGTTCTGACACACTGTGTTAGCTTTCTGGGGCTGCCATTACAAAATATGATAGACTGGGTGGCTTCAACAACATAAATTTATTTCCTTACAGTTCTAGAGGCCAGAAGTCTGAGATCAAGCTGTCAACAGGGTTGATTGTTTTTCCGAGGCCTCCCTTTTTGACGTGCCAATGGCTGTCCTCTCTATGTCTTCCCATAGTTTTTCTTCTGTGCTGTGTGTTCTTCTCCTCAACCTCATATTGAATCAAGGCCCACTCTAATGATTTCAACTTAATTATATATTTAAAGATCCCATCTTCAAATACAGTCACATTCTGAGGAACTGGATATTAGAACTTTAGCATATGAATTTTAGGGGGACACAGTTCAGCACATAGTACACACATATGCTGTTTGCACTGGGCAGCTCAAAGCGAATCGTGCCACTTAGTTGGGAAGGAAGCAGTGTATGAAATATCGTGAATCATATTCCAGGGAGTTAAATGTTGGCATCATTCCACTGCCCACCATCAGGTGTGAACACATGAGATATATTACACTAAGGTAGTGTTTCTTATTTAGAAAGGAAGTATCTTGAAATTTCTCATTTTTCATTTTAAAGAGGAAAAATCATTTCAGGGCTTATCTCTTTTCCATGTCAAAGAAATATAGTAGAGAGCATGCTGGATCAGAATGCTATTCAGTGTGGCCATTCAGTGTGGCTTTCTCTCTGGGAGGGGAATATCAGGGATTACTCTAAGGAAACAAAACAGTTATTCTGATGACATTAGCCTCAAATGGCCAGAGTTGATTGCTCAAGTTTCTCATGTAACTGTGACTTATTTGTTTATCTCTACCTCTAACCAGAACATTATGGATCCCAGAGAAGTCTGTGAACCTTAGAAATGGTACCTTATTTTATCACTTGCATTCACAGTTATTCTGACATTCATCTATTAATCATATATTCTTGACTGCCTTACTTTGTGTAGTATGATGCAGCTCATACTGGTGTTTTCAACTTCAGCCAGCTGTTAAAATGAGCAATGTCACACAGCAGCTCATAGCATTCTCAAAGTAGAAGAAATTTGGGCATCTTCCATTCTGCCCTCTTTTACTGATTGAAAAGCTGACCCAGTGAGACAAGACAATTTATCCACCTATTGCATATTAGTGATAGTTATAACATTAATATTTAGAGTTGGGGGATAATCATCTGATTGTTCTTACCATCTTACAATGTCTAAGAAAATAGACCTTTATAAATTATTTTAAGTAAAATATTTTTTTCAAGTTCTAACATGTACCCAAGTCTTCCTAATATCCTTAACTTTGTGTTTAAAAAAAAATCTCATTTTCATCTGTCATGGATGAATTCAAATTTTGGGTTCTGGTTGCTGTGTCACTTGGCAGCAACTTAACTTTGGCATCTCAATTTCTCATCTTAAAAATTGAGGTAAAAGTATCTGCTCTGCTTACTGCACAAAACATGGTTGTGAAGGGCAAATGAATATATGTAAAAAGTAATTCATAAAGATAAAATTGATTTCATTTATGAATTCACAGTCTCACTTAGACTTCATCTTTCCAGGTTAAAGAGTCTTAATTTCACAATGTTCCTTTTAGATCTAATGGAAATCAAAAGCATTTAAATCATGACTTAAAGCAATAGTCTGGAGCATTTGGTTTAAATATTTTTTCCCTACAGAAAATATTAACCTAATTTGCTGCAGTGTTAAGTCATTTTTTTCCTTTATTCCAAAATGAATATAATTTGATAAGGTAAATATCTTTACAGCTAAACTAATTTCGGGAGTTACTATCAGAGGACTAAATATTTAAAGATTGGGCTATATCATTCACTAGTAAACTTTATTGGCTCTCTAATGTCTCTCACATCTGGATAGCTTATTTAACATCAAAGCCCTTTATCTCTGGTGCTCACACCCCTGCCTCTGTCCCCTTGTTGATGCTTTTCCTGTTATACTCTTCTTTCTCCTGGTTGGGACAGTCCAGCCATGTGACGCCTTCAATGTCTGATTTCAGATTATCTTCTTTATCAAATATTGTGAGACTAATAACTACCCAGTCACTAGTGATTAGTCAGTTGCAATGATGTACTTGATTCTTTATTTCCATGTATAAAGATGGGTCTGTATGTTCTCTAGTTGTTTTCTTGTCTTATCTCCCAAGTTAGTGTATGAGTTCATCAGAGGTAGGAATCAGAATCCTGTCTTCTGCTTTTCTCTTGGTCCCTACAGTACAGTACAGTACACAGAACAGTGCTGGGGTCACAGTAAACCTTCATAACTGTTGATGGTATGATGAATGGATGATTGACAGTTTCAGTTGTCTTTCTGGTGGTGTTCCTTTCTTGTGTTGTGACAATAGTGGAGGTCATGCTCTAATAGGTATCATTTTGGTCATTTTTCCCTATTAAGGGAGTCTTAATCCCGCGCCTTTGGGAGGCTGAGGTAAGTGGATTGCCTGAGCCCGCGGGTTCGAGACCCGCCTGGGCAACTTGGCGAGACCGCATCTCTACAAGAGTATAAATGTGCTTTATCCTCAGTCACATTTATGTCCTAGTCTGAGTTCATTCACACTTTTGTTATCCTCTGAAAGTCTGCTGTCAGTTATAACTGTGTCCAGAGAGTAAAAAGTTTCTGATTTTTGAAAGGGAACAAACATTGTTTCATATGGTAATTAGGAAACTCCTAAAAAATATAAAATAGAAACGTTTGCAGCATGGCTCGCCATGGGGTAAATTTAAAACTAGTATTTCTGTAATTGTGGCAAACTGAAATAAATATTTTAATTTAGAAATTCTATTTATAAGGGCTATATTTGTTTTCATATTAAGTGTTCATTTTTTTCATGGGTCAATTCTAAATGTACACATATATAGTAAGGGTTCAATAAGTTTGTTGGATAAGATTTAATTTAAATTATAAACACTAGGCTATTGAGGGACTGTTTTGAAAATACACTGCAATCTCTAAGCTTTGCTTTTTTATTTATTTTATACTTTATATGCCATGGTACATATGCAGAAACTTGAGTACTTATAATTTGAGAATGGGAAACTGTCGATTAGTATTAATAATAAAAATACCAATAAAATCGAATTTAAATGTGGTTTGACAATAAAATTAAAGTCACATGATACCAATATTTGTTTTTTAAAATAGCACTAGTTACTAAATTTTATGTACTTATATAATTATGTAAGCATTTGGTTATAGATTTTAAGTGTACTATGTAGTATACTACACTTATAAAAATACATACAAAAATATAAATATAAAAAAGTTGACAATAAGAATGTAAACTGAAAACTGATTCTGAATCTGAAATGATAAGCACAGCAATAAAGTCTTTTTTCTGGACTATGTGTTATTCCATAGCAAGGATCATATCTTACTAATTTTTGAAGTTAATTTCTCATCCTCAGGATCTAGTATTATGACTAACATTTGGTATATTACTCAGTAATTCTTTGATAAATGATGGAATAAAAACAACTCTGTGCTTTTAAAGATAAAGTAAAATTTTTCATCTAGTCAACTTAGTGAAATCAAAATGATCTCATTAGCATAGTATGAAGCTTCTTCTTAGTGTTGATTAATTAATACCTTCTGTTTATAATTATAATTTGATACTTACCCAAATAGAGATTTCACACCTGCCTCAGATCATTGACTACTAAAATTGCAATAGTAATTTATAAAAACTGCATTGACAGAAGCAAAAGTAAATGAAGACAATTAGTATTTAAGTTTATATCAGCAAGATATAAACTCTCCGTATATAGTCAATTTTCTAGTTTTCTTACATTTCCAGTTTTCTTAGAATTATTTTTAGATATATCATGAACCTTTCATTGCTGCATTAATTCATATATATAATGTGTGTTGCTCTAGCTATTTTGAATCTTACATTTAAAATTGTTAACAGATAAATATAATTCATAATATTTGTAAAAGTGAAATCTTTTCAATTTTATTATCATTTTCATTTTGCTCTAATTTGTTCTTCCTGGTTTATGTGTTATATGTAATGTGATTTTAGGCTGTGTATTCTTCCAGAGTTGGCCATGGAATATGTCATGGAATTATAGTATAGGCTTAATATTAATTGTTAAAAGTGAATAGAAAAGTTGCAGCTTTAAGAGGCAGTTATTTTTAAATGATTTGCCCTTAAGAACCATAGATATTTATAAATAATTAACATGCTATATACAGTTTTATTGCATCTAACACATTTAATGCATACTATATGCAGTTTTAATGCATCTAATGCATTATTCTTAAATTTTCAGAGGCCGAACTGGAAAAATTAGAGTACAGAGTCTGAAGATTGGATTGATGTCTCTTTCCAAAGGTCTCTTGGAAGAAAAATATAGATGTATGTAAGACCTTTCATATAACAGCTGTGTTTTTGTAATAATAATGATCATAACAATATGCTATTTTATTTGATTTGCTGGCAATAATAGTTCCCATTTTTTAAAACTCTTGCTATGCATGTATCAGGTTAGACAGAGGAGGTTACGGTGCAAAAAGATTTGGAGTTGTGTAAAATGAAAAGCTGAGGCTAAGAGGTGAGGTGTCTGGAATCTAAGGATCAGCTATAAATTATATCTCATTTATTTCTTAGACTAATCTTTCCATAATGTTGATACTGGGATTTCGATTTTTCACCTGAGAAAATTAATACTGAAATAGGTTAAGAATGTAGGCCTGGCTTGATGGCTCATGCCTGTAATTCTAGCACTTTGGGAGACAGAGGCAAGAGGATTGCCTGAGCCCAGGGGTTCGAGACCAGCCGCAACTTGGCAGGACCTTTTCTTGACAATAAATCAAAAAAATTAACCAGGCATGGTTGCACATGATTGTGGTTCCAACGACTTGGAAGGCTGAGGTGGAAGGATCGCCTGAGCCCATGAGGCCGAGCTGCCACAAAGGTTAAGAATCTCGTCAAAGATTGTATAGCCAGTAAGTCATGGGACTAGAATTAGAGCCTCCATTTTCTAACTCCAAAGCTCAAACGCTTTCTATTTCTGTGTACGTCTAGTGCTTTTTTTTTTTGAGTTGGAGTCTCACTCGCTCGCCCAGACTGGAGTGCAGTGGCCGCTCCCGGCCACTGCAGCCTCGACCTGCTGGCCTCCGGCGATCCTTCCGCCTTAGCCTTCCAAGTAGGCAGAATTACAGGCATGCACTACCGGCTGATTTTTTTGATTTATTGTGGAGAGGAGGTCTCGCTGCCCAGGCGGGTCTCGAACCCGCGGGC